CATCAGTCAAAATCCTGGGAAATCATTATACAACCAACAGCGGTGCAGAGTAACTCGGCCAGATGTCCTGATGATTCAGGAACCAAGGAGACGATTCGTTCACCGATGAAAGAGGATGTGGAATTTTGCGGAAGTAAAACATGCCTGGTTATCAGGCCAAACAGCTCTATTACAGGTCAAGCAGGGGCAAGGTTATTTGGCACTACAGTGTACCCGCTGCATACAACTAGATTCTCTCCGGGTGTCCAACCAGAAGCTTCAAGTCATGAAGCAGAAGATTTCACCCCTGTTGGAAGTGAAGCATCAGGTCATTATGGCTGGAGCAGGTTGACAGATGAGGAACGTGCTGTCCGGCTGCAACTCCAGCGACACAGACTATGGATGAATCGAAAACTCTCTGCTGCCAATGCACTGCCTCCATCTCCCATTCATGGTCCCATAAGTTCCTGTGTCGGGACTGGAAGTACATACCGCAAGAGCTATGAAGTTCAACTGGTCGTGCCTCGCTACTCAGCCCTGCCCCGTTCTGTGTCTATGCTCGTCAACACGTCATCAGGGGAATGTTCAAGCAACAGCAACAGTGATTCAGAGTGCATCAGTTTGGTGGACAGCCTGGAGGAAAAACCCTCTTCAAGTACCAGTACGCACAAGCCCATGAACCACGACTCGAAGCCAGTGAGAGGTGACATAGTTGAACTGTTACCAGAAGAGAGAAATCATAAATATGATTCGCAAAGGAGAATCAATCCAGCAACGCCTCGAGGGAAAGGCAAGGCATTTTTTGTGTCCATGGCAACAGGGCTTGATGAAGCAGGTATTGTCAAAGTAGGAGAAGACATAGACAGGCAAGTTGTATCGCAAAGCATGCCAGACAGGTTAAAGAAGAAGCTGTCTCAAAGACATCAGCAGTTAAGTATCAAGAAGAAGAAAATAAGCAGATTGAAAAATATGAATGGACAGGCAGATACAAACACACAACAGGATGAGAATGTTTGGACAGATGTAGAAACTGGTGGTGTAATCAGTGCACAGGCACTGGCTGGCATGCAGTGCACAGACATATCACAAACTGAGAATACAACTCAGGAAGAAGCAAAGGGTTCCATAAAACCAATACAGGAAACATTCTCAGCAGAAATGCCTCCTCATATAAGATCACCAAGTACAGCAACATTTAATTCCATGGCACAAGGCAATACTGGGGGAGGGACTTTTATTGTCTCAAGGAATGAGGATCAGGGACCGAAAGAACAGAAGTTGCTGGAGCAAAGAATTCCTGTAGATATATCAAACTTTTTAAGTGCTGGAAATATGATGAAGAATGAACAGGCATTACAAGAACACAGTCCACCTGTAAAACGATTTAAAGTTTCAAAACATAAGCATCCACCACATAAAGACCAGGAGACTCCTAAGCAAATAGCAGTTAAAATTTTACAAAATGGAGCAACAATGTATAAAGAAAGGAAACACAAAGAACACAGACCTCTGCTGAAGACATCAAACCGTTCTAAAGATTGTACCACAAAACAAGAAGAAAGGAAGTCTTCTGAGCGAGAAGCTGGAGCAAACGCAAATTACACAAGACATCAGGGTAAAGTACAGGAAGCAAACAAGCATGGAGAGGAGTGTACAGTAGATATTTCAAATGAGGTAACAGAAGACGATGAAGAACTTAAACCAACGACATACATTACATCTCAAGAAACATCAACCACCCCAGAAGAAGGAAATGTAATGACAATAGAACAGACATCTGAAGTACAAAGGTATCCAGAAAAAGCAATAAATGTTTTCAGAAGGAAGATGCAGAAAGGGCGTGCATCCCCAAAGGCCAGTAAAACAAAAATCAGTCCAAGTCATGAGGCTGATAAATCAAAATTAGAAGACCAGAGTCCTCCAGTGGAAACATCACTACATAAGACCAGTGCTCAATGTGAGGACAAATTAGGTCAAGCACAAAGGATGGTTCAAAATGGTAAGGAAACCATAAAAGAATCTCTGTCCACTGAAGCAACTGAATCTGTCCTGACACCTACTGAAGAATTAGAAACTGAGCAAACAAATTGTGAAAATTTGATAAAACAAAACACAACAGCACAAAAAAGTGATAATGAAGGTGATGTTACAAACAACGTGAACAAAGCTGAAACACAGCTAGGAGAGAAAGCAAAAATATCACTTGCTGACCAGAACATGGAGCAGGAGCATGGCAGAGAAACTGACACAGCAAAAGACATTAAGTCAAAGACAGCTGAAAAATCCCCTGAAAAAAAATCACTCAACACAGTTTCCTGCCAAACTTCACCAGAAATCAAGTGTGAAAAGGAGAAAAACAGTTCAACACTAAAAACAAACCCTCAATCTGAAAAACCAGAGTCACCTCCGCACCTAATAAGAAACTTACTTAGAACTCAGCAATCACTTAAATCATCAATACCTATTATGAAGTCACCAACAGGGACAAGAAAACTGAGCCCAGACACTGTGATCACATTTCAACAATCTCTCCAGAAGTCACAAATATCTGCCCACACACCTCCACAACTAATTCATGCTTTACCAAGCAGGCGATCTGCCAATCTCCTGGGGACCAGATTCCACCAGAGATTTGAGGTGATTCCAGAAGAGAGGAGTGGATCCCTGGAATCTTCTACAGAAGACCAGTCATGCCTACCACCTGACAGAAGACCAAGACCCTCTTTGCCAGCAGGACAAGCAGGTACCAAAGTCAGCACTGGAAATTCTCTGGGTAAACGGAGCAACACGGTCTCTCATAGCTGTCTGGGTCTGAACCAGGCAACCAGCAACAAGTACAGACAGAAGAGATACAGTGTTTCAAACAGTGAAACTAGTGACAGCAATCATGAAGACATTATCGATGGAAATGTCACAGCAACTAATGGTGATATCACAAAGAAGGTAATCCAGAGACCATCATGCCCATCAAAAATTCCCAGGGCAGAGAAGATGAAAAGGCAGTCAAGGATACCAGACGGCTCTGTATGTGAAGGGCAGGAAGACAGAAAGGACTATCAGGGCAAAGCCGCATTAGCACCCCACACAGAGGACAAGGATCTACTGACACTCTCCAAGGGGTGGATAAATTTCTATCTGTTGAAAGATGACCGTGGCACACCAGACAGCAGCTGCGGGGAAGGTAAAAAGTTAAATTCTTGTAAAATCTCCTTAAATTTTAAGATATTACGTTAATATTTACAAGATGTAGGTTGTAATCATTTATAAATATAAAACAGAAAGAAATTTTAAACTTTCAAGGACTTACGTGTCCATATTCATAGAAGGACATCATTCCAAAAATCACTTTTCTGTTTTCTGGAAAACATTCTCCACTGAAATTTCAAGACTGACATTTTTCTGGTACAATACATTCTCTATACAGTATATCTAAGAAATAAGTTAAATTCGTGTACTTTCAAAAGTCACACTTTGCAAAAACACTCCACAATCAAGGCATGCATTTAGCATGGAGGTAATAAACCTACAGCCCACAATATCAATTGTGTCTGATAAGTGCAATGAATGCACCATGATATGTGGGTCACCTCACTGACATAAATGTTCACTCACAATCTATTATTGACAGAGTTAATCAATAGTACAGAAAATATGCTGTGTGGTGGCATAATATATCCATCCTTGAATTTTTATACAGATTAAACCATTAAATGAGTTTAAAATAAAATTTATAGATCTTAATATACAAATTATTTGTATAAATAACCAATTTTGAGAAATTTTATAATTTTATTTGAGCTTCATTATGCTTGACTAGTATGGGCAAATTATTAGTGTTAATAATTCAACTTTATTAAACCATCAATTAATATCTGCATTGATAGTTTAAAAAACCTGAATTATTAGTGTATGATACATTTAAAATGTTAGTGTTAAAATTAGTTAAGTAATAATGGAAGTTAAACATGTAGACAGACCTATGGAGTGTCACAATCACTTCTCATTATTTCTCTACCCTTATACATCTCCTCTAACAACGCTGGCATTCCTATATCAAGACTTTGTTAATCCAAACCTGTATTTCACAGCTCCATCTGATCTATCAGACAAAGAAAAAAGATTACCACAGAGAAAACATCCCGCATTACCAAGAACAGTGACTGTTGTGGGTGGTGATAGCAACAGAATACGACAATACACAGTTCAAAGCCATCTACCACCAAAGAAGAGTGACAGGAACAAAGAAGAACCCACAATCCTGCCAGAACTGATCAACAACTGCAGTATGAGGAGAACCTCTGTCATTTCAGTGGAGAAACTACCTGTAACTGTGCTGGAACCAAACAGCTGTACAGGAGACTCAGACCACGGCACTGCATACCTCTGTCTGCCAAATCCCCACCTTAATGCCACCAACCTGCTAGAAGGTTCAGGAGAGCTTGCCTGTTCAGAGTTATCTGTATCATCTAGCAGTGATTCAGAGACTGATCAAGCAACAAGGGTAGCCATGCTTCCAATTAGATGGCCCACCAGACAGTTCCACAGAGGTCCACCACATCACTGGTCACGACCTCGGACAAAACACTACAAGCCCGAACGAATCCAATCCCACTACCAAAATGGTGGAGGTGGTAAGTAATACTGACAGAGTCAGTTGAACAAGACCTAACAATGCAATAACTTTTCTGTGGTCTGCCAAGACTCAGGATAATACTAGTGCTAATATAAAATTAAAACTAGCTTGCTTTTCAAGCATACAACAACCACACAGATACGGCTAAAATGAAAACTGCAAAAATTACACACTCAGTAAGGATAACTGGTATCTAAGCCCAGATTTTAACCTGGAAACTCCCAAATATGAAGCGACAATGCAAACTGCTTGAACATAATGCTCAGTGATTGATGAACGTGAAGAAGATGTATATTCAGTGTCCTGGACCTGGGCTGTTGGCTTGCATCTGTGGACTTGTTTCAGGCAGTGCTGGATGGACAGTGACTGTTGCGGGTAGTAATGCATGCCCCCAGCAACCACCTGAACTCGAGATGCATTTTTCATTCCCATCATGTGTCCGGAAACCAGGAGCCAGTCAGTCAGACTCAGGACTTGGAGAGGACAACAACGGTGACAAGTCAAAGAAGCAGCAACAAAAGGGTGATGATAAAACACAACACTTCTTGCCTCCTGCTCATTCAGCTCCCCAGACCCACCACTGGACTCTCATGGTCAAGAACCAAGGTAACTACCCCTGCATCACACTAACAATGATGCTTAATCCAACAACTCTTATGCAAAAATCTGTAGTGGTTAACATTCAGATTTAAATGCCCATGTCACAGCTCAATTAGTAATGTGATTGATTATGCACTTGATTTTTGGCAGCGGCAAATTTGTGTCCCTACTGCCACATCCAGAACAGTTCTGGGGCCCATCTAGCCTCCAGCTGAATCAGTACTACAGGCTCTTTTCCTGGGATAGAGCAGTCAAAGTGTGAACATACCCACCTACTTTGGCCCAGAAGTGTCAGTCATTTGATGTGTTATTTGTATGTTTTGGTACTAAGTTTATTGAGGGTAGACAGAAGAAAAGGCAGGAAATCTCAAGATCAGAAAAAAACCTTGATTACATATTGAATCACATAGTTTCTTCTACCCCTTCTGCATTATTCACTAGCAAAAGTACCTATTCTTTGCCCATATTTTTCTTAACATATATGTACCACCAGTGCTGAACCTCCAGGCTCTATTCGTTAAGTGGATTAAGCAGAGAATGCATCAAATAGTGCAGTTAAATGGTCAGCATGCCAGTTTCATATTCAATATGTATCTTATTTAAATCTTGAATACTTTCAAACAAGCCAGTGCTTCCTCCTTTCAAATCCTTTCACACATATCTTTCCTAAAGGCTTGTAAAATACATAAAATTGAAGCAGTCATTCCAAAAAATTCAGTCCCATCCTACTCCACATTCAATTAAGTGACTGATCAATATATTTATCAATTGATAAATTTGTCAGTCAGTCTTACAGTTGTTGATAATTTAATTCATATTAATGTCCACCCCATGCACTTTCATTTCAGGAGGATCTGAAAAACTTCATGAAATATCAAAATCTGGGAAAAGGACTTATCAGGGTCTCCCAGATTTGAGGCACAATCCTGGCCAAAGTAAAAACTCAAAAACAGTGGAAAAGGTACTAAAAAGTAACAGGATTACTACTTTGTAATTAAATCTAGGTAAATGATTTCAACATGAGGTTCTTACATGTAGATAATAATGCTTTTCAGGGTTCCAGAGTTATCTGTATATTTAGAGGTAATCAAAATTCATTTCATTCACATTAAAACTTCATTTGCCACATGCTTGAAATGTTTGTTAAAAGATCACAAATTACAGACATTTTCTACATGAACCTTGTAAGTGAGAATTCACCATGCCTTATTTTCAGGAGGTACCAGGTTTGATTCTGTGTGCAGAGGCCAACTACTGTACTCTGACTAAGGTTTCATATGGTCTTCCTCACCCATCTTCCTATCTATTTGGAATTCTCCCACACTTTTCCTATGTATACAGCAGCCACTGGAATAACCTTAAAATAGGTCTTGACTAATTACTTCCAGACCTTTCCCAATTCATCAATGAAAATCAGTCTACTGTTAGATGTCACATAATTTATGCAGCTGAAAATTCATCACTGCTAAATTCAGAATACAAATAGTTTTCTACTAAGCAGCAAAAGTTTTACATTTGCCATGGATGAGCAACATTTGATAAACCCTGCACATATTCCAGTGTCACATGCTTATGCTATGTGCTGGCAACCAACAAATCTTAGGTGACAGCTGTTAGCCAACTAAATTACTCTCCTGAACTTGTGTACCTGGCATTTTGTAATATTGATGGTTGGTAGCTAACATTTCTGATCTTGACTACTATGTCACTTTGCATGCAGCATCCCACTGCTTCTTTACAATATATTTCTTTATCAATAAAACTTCACACTTTATGAGATGATTTTTACAAATCACTGATCAAATCAAGGGAATCAAGAATTCCAACTGAGATAATTATGTCTGGTAAGAAGTATAAATTTTGTAAGAGCTACCATGCAACTATGGTTTCTTGTGGTCTTCCTTAGTCCCTTCTGGTGAATGACAAAACAGGAATTTTACATAATTTATGATACATTTTTCCCATATCCATTCATACTCATCCATCATCATCACCTTATTATTTCTAATCTGAAACTACATAATTCTGTAGTTAGTATAATGCATGCAAAACAAGAAAAGAAACAAATAAACTTTATAATGTACCTAGTGCCTCAATCTCCAAGGTTCAATTGAGATTTTAAATGTGCGAGAAAAATCTATCAACTACACTTTGTCTTAAAAGCCCTGCCTCACCAGTGCTGTATTTGTTATTTTTATCTGAACACATCATTCCTTTGGAACCCTGAAATTTTTATTATACATTAATATGCATTACACATAAGTGGAGCTTATAATTTTTTGATTTTACAATTTATAAATTTCACAGGATCAAATGAAGTGTTATTTTACATGAGCAATATTGGTTAGAAATTGAATGACTGTAAGAGTATTTTCTTTCGGAATTAATCCAGTGTCTGAATAAAAAGATCCATTGAATTTATGTGTCAATCAGTCCCAAGTATCCACTGATGTCATGTATTGCCTTTCTCTATGCGATGAAAATGTCCAAATAAAATAGATTACAGTCACAAACCTTCAGAATCATATTATAAAGTGGATAATATACATGGTAATACTCTGGGAATGTACTTCACCAGGTGCCTAACCTGCTGATTTTCTGTCAATATTTATAACAGGCATAACCTCATCTTTAACCAGCTGGAAATATTTTTAAATAAAAAATAACCCTCTTATAAATTCACTGGACTTGTTTCTGTGTGTTAAATATTCATATTATTATAAAACCCTCAATTTAAAAATGAGGTCCTGCAATTTCTATGCATATCATCATGGGCTGACAAACCTGAACAAAAATAATCACATGAAATTCTATATAAAGTTTAAATACATAATGTTTTGAAATGTTTGATATTAGTGACAAAAAAATAAAAGTACTTTAAATTGTTTCATTAGGTGAAAGGTAAATAAGACTGCATCAGTATGGTTTTGGTTTCAGAGACCAGAATCCTGCTTTCCTGTGACATCAATCACTAAAGAAGATGAAAAAAAGAGCAAAAAGTTCTCAGTGTTATGGCCAAAGGTCAAAAAAATCATACAGAGCAAAGTCATTATTAGGAAATCCACTGGGTAAGACAGACACCTAACCTAGCAGAACATAGAATTTTTTGATCAGCTGAATATTAATTATTGAAGGTAATCCTAAATAAACTTAGTAGTTAAAATCTTCTTGTAAAATACTTAGGAAAAAAAGGTAAAATACTTTGTGACTGCGTTTATTCTGTCTGCAGACATATCTCACAAGAGGTGAAGTCCATTTCACAATTTCTAGAGAATGAAGATGGTGGAATCGTTCTACGATCTGGCCTCGCAATTAAAGGCTCTGCAATAACTCCAGAGAAAAAACCAAGAGTGCCAACAATGAGTGAGCGTGATCTGACCAGAAGTCAAACAGCCAAACTTTAACATGTTTTTATGGTGGCAACAGTTATCTCGCAACATGAACAACTGCACCTGCTAGTATGGGGGAAAATGGAAATGAGAAGATTTTTACAGTGACTCCTTAGAATAAACCAAGGACATCATAAAGCAAGAAAGATGTGACCAGAAGTTATACAGTGAAAAACATGTGTGAGTATTTACATTATATACAGTTCAGCATCCAAAATCATTTGCTGTTTCACTTGATACTAAATAACCTCTATGGCTGAGAAATATTACAGAAGCTATGAACCATCCTACTATCAGCAACACACGACAGACATTTTATCCCGTTTTGTATGGGCGTTATTCTTCGTCTTTTACCATAAGGGATGAACCTAGATTTAAGGATATTTCACAAGAGGGTGCTCAAAATAATATTTGGATCCGAGATACCATTAGAACAGGAAGATGAACAACACACAAGGAACTTCATAACTTGTATACATCACTAATACTAGTAGAATCATAAAAATCAAGGTAGATAAGATGGACTAGGCAAGCAGCGTGCTCGGGGGTGCCAAGAAATTAATTCAAATTCTGGTCAGAACACAAGAAATGAAAAGACCGTTTGGGAGATCTAAGTGTAGATGGAAGGATGATATTAAGATCCATGTTTAGAATTAGGGTGTATGGGTATGAACTGGATTCTGGATTTATCTAGCTCAGTAAAGGGTCATAATATTATCAACTTGTACATGGTAGAGAATGAACACTATTAACTTGTATATACCAGAAATTGCATGTTACAAACATGAATATTACAGAAGAAACGAGGTATCAACTTGTGCATACTAGAAGAGACATGTTATCTGCATATGTAGTTTACAGATATCCAATCATGTCCACACCACTCACAGTTTCAGCATTTCCTGCTCTACTGCTCACCATTTCCATTTTTATATAAAACCTGTAGGACTGCCTCTCTTATAACTGTACAGTTCTATAAAGCTCAGGAGCAGAGCAGTGGAATCCTGTTGCTGCACATCAAAGCAAACCTTTGTTCATACATTCAACTTGTAAATGTAATGTATAATAAAAATACATTGTTCCACACTCTGCCTCTTCAGTACTATTAAACCTAAACTCATGCAGGCATGTATAGAGTTAAAATTTTCAAAATTTGAATTCAGTGGGCCAACTTATTAGTAAGAAGGTAAAATATGCCACATGGCTAGATTCAAGTTTCTGGCGATCATGCTAACCACTAGTCCACAAAGGGCAATGCTATCATTCTATCAGAGCTCCATATTCATCTATAATCACTCAACAGGTATGTATTACGAATGACAGACTAGTACAATATAAATCCCTCAATTCCTACCTATGATCTGGCACTTTGAAATCAAAATTATAAAACTTGATAGTTTTATGTACGTATGTATGTATTTGACCTGATAGTTTTTTAATATAAAGCCATGATCACAAAGTTTAACGCCCAGCCAATAATCACAGCACCCAACACCAGAGCCAAACTGGATATGGGGGTGAAGTGAAAAATCCCAACATACAAGCAGGCACTTAATTGGTTTTATGTATAGTTTATCACTTGGTTGTGACAATTACAAGGTTCATCCACTTGCAAGACATACTTATTTAAGTTCTGGGAACAACTTATTCTTGTAGATGTTCTGTGACCACCAGGCTATGTTGCTGCTGTTGTTTTACATTCTACAAGGACATAATCTCAACAAAATTAATGTATTTTGTAAAAAACTGTAATTACACAAACTTTAAGGACTACATTAAGTAGTGTCACTACCACCTCATAAGTCTGCATGCTGCCTACTTAGAATTATTAATCAGAATAAATTTAAAAGTACAAAATCAGAAAGGTCTGTAGGGGCATAATGATTATTAGTAAGTTGAGTGGAAACGTATTCAGTGGTTTGCGAGTTAGGAGATGAGGCAGGGACAGACAGACATACCAACATTATTGTATTAAAAATAAGAAATGAAGGCTTAGGGTTAACATATTTTAACACTGTATGATGACTAGATACACTGGCTTAACAGAGAACAAATATATAAGGCAAAGTGAAATTGTTGCAACTCACTGTGAACTTGGCAGAACTTCCCATAGGCTCTGAATTGTAAAGCCATCTTTAAGTTTCTCAATAGCTAGTCCTAGCTCTGGACTGTAAACAGGTTCACGGTCCTTCTTGTGTCCAGAATCCACAAAATAAGCCACAAATGCATTTGACAGCTCGTCCTTTGTGTCATCGAACTCCTGGATATTTTCCACCATGGATGGCAGTTCAGCACAAGGTTCACTCTGCACAGAAAAAAGCAAGTTGCATATTCACCCTTTCCATGCCATTTGCAGTGAAATATATCTCCTTCTGATGTATATTTCCATGCCTTCCATGATAATAATAATCATTTATACTGTTGAAAAGCAAGTATTTGCCATAAACTGATTAATGAAAAAATTAACACATTCGGTCAGAAATGAGGCTGGAAACTCATCAAGGCGTTAATGAACTGTGCTGAGAAATGAGATATTGAAGGTGACAAAGGAGGTGAAGAGAGAGAGTTTCATTTGGCAAAGCAAAGTACACTATTGACTGCAGTCAGCTACTTGGACTCTAGTTAGTTTCCTGTCCATAAAATTGGCTAAATGCACAATATTCACGCTACTGTTGTTTACCTGTTCTCCCACCTTGAACTGCACTCCAAATAATGGCATCTGTCCATATACTTTCTGCAGGGACAACAGCTCTTTATGAACTGACTGCAACTTCTCCTTGGGATCAATACGGAACCCCAGCACGTAGCCACCACCACCCTCTGCACATTCCACAACCAGTGCAGGGCCAAATTTGGACTCACGAATTTTCACCTAAGACAAAAATAAGGGAGCCTTTATGCTCCAGAATCACTACCTCAATCCATGGACAGTTTTATGGGCAAACTAGTATAATACACGAGCACCTCTAAACCTACTTTTAATTAGATTTACTTCTTCATTCTGAGAAAAGCCAAGTGTAAACCATAATAAGAATATAATTCTCAAAGAGCAATGAAGTCATACATTCTAGCAGGATTATAAATGTCACCCTTAACACCATTGAAAGTCACTCATTCCAAACAGAAGTATTTCTCTCCAAAGCAATTTACTTTCCCTTATCAGGTTTTTATGAAAAATTAAAATAAATCAATGTCTTACTCTTTCACATCTCAGCAGTGTCCCTCATAGGTCACAGCAAAAAATTTATACACCAAAATTCCCATACCGGTATCATTAATTAGATACAAAATGCAACAATTCTTGAAGCAAATCATGAAATTTCTGCAACAAATTAGATCTATTTCATGATGAAGACAAAATGGCAGTTGCAGAAACGTCAGAAACTCTGTCTGGAATTCATTACCTGACATGTGTCACTGGAGAGATAGGTATGCTGACAGTTGCAAATAACTCTGAATCAGTCCACAAAATGTATTTACTCACGTGCATTATCTGCAGGTATGGAAGAGAGATGTTGAAATTCTCATTCATATCTGCAAACCATACCAGTCGTACATTTGTGATAACGAATGTGCCAAGATTTCCCTGTTAAATAAAAATGGTAACTATAAGTAAAACATGTCAATTGAGTTTTGGGAAGAATTTAGAACTATTTTCATTCAAATGTTTCAATCTATAAGCTTAGGCTAACAACAATTACAGTAAAAATACTCTTGCAATTTGGTGATTCACTTCTGTGAAAAATCTCCATTTGTACAAAGTCCACCATTTACTATTTTTGTTTTAGTATTACCTTAAAATGTGACATTACCACATCTGTAAATATTGTTCTTTCTGTAATTACCTCCTAAATATAAATAGAAGTGCTAACTACTAGACATGATATTTGGCAGTGCAATAGTGAGTGCATTTCCATGTCAAGAAAGGCCTTGTACTGTAGTGTTTGATAAATATAACTACAGATGATCTTCCAAAATAAAAATGTGACATATTCTGGCCCACAGCTAATAAAATAAGTTAATGAACATAAGGCATATTTCCTGTCATATATCACCTGATCACTAGAAAGGTTCCAGACACCTGGCACAGTCGTATACACCTGTTCAAGAGGCAGGATATTTAGTTGCTTGTTGTGTATGATGGCTCCTCGCAGCTTCAGCTCTCGATACATTCTAGAGGATGTGTAGGCCCTACAAAGGTGGTGGAGTGAATGTTACAGAATACAGTCAGGTGGTCTCCAGAATCCTATTACTTAAGATACTCAAAGGACAGATAATCCAAAAAATCAGCTGCTGCTTGATTGGTTGTCCATTGTTTAACAATGCTATATCGACTGCAGAAATTGTTTAGCAATGGACGGGAGGATATGAAGAGTGTGCAAATTAACTTTTTTTATTTATCTTACAAAATGTCTGCGAAAAACTTAGAAACCTTCTTTCTTTTATACTTACACACAGATGCTAGAGAGAAATTACAAATCAACGAATACACATATCAGTAATCTATTTCTATAAACACTTTCCTCTATCATGAATTCCCTGTAACTGACAATTATGGAATTTAACCTCAGGTTTTACACCATCACCATGTTCATAATTTATCCACCACATTATATTTTCCTCCTATAAAAGACAATTTGCTTAAAAATTCTTATATTAAATGGTGTTTCTGCCACTCACACCACAACAGGTTGTACAGTGGTTCTGTTGTTTGATACAGTGAAAAAGTCAAGGAGGATAAGATGGATGAGGTGCATTGCTCACATGGAGAAAATTACAAAAGCATAGAAAATTTTAGGTGGAAAATCTGACAGTATGAGACCACGTGGAAACCCTAGGGACAAAGATAAGAATAACATTAAAAATACAATTTACAATTTTTTATAGCATTGAGAATTAAGACTGTGGTCACCACAGTTCTGGAGTGACTATCAGCTTCTCAAGAAAATCTTCATTATAACAAGCTGGTTATGACAATACATTGAAAAGAATGAAGGTGGTTAGACATGCTTATGTCATATACATAATTTTTTCAATGTCTTACTGAGAAGTTCATGTCTGTGAAACTGGTTACAAGAAATAAATTCTGGCTAATATAATGTGGACCACATGGTCATTACATGATAATCTTACATACTTGTGCACACCCATCACAGATGTGAAGTGTCTTGAATTTTCTGGTATTAGGTTTGTAAAAATGAACTCAAATCTTGTATTATTTGATTTGGTCAGAATGTGGAGAGCTTCTGTCACCCCTCGAAGTTGCTGAAATGAATATCATACACATATAACATGCTGTTAGTACACTTCTATTTCCATTCAACTTCATGCAGTGATGCCACAAGATCAGGAACAAACAAGCAAATAAACAAACACACACACACAGATGTGTCTTACCAAATACAATAGTACCATCTTGCCCTCTGGTAACAAAACTCAAGACATTCAAGTCTCCTCATATCAGAGCCTAACAATGGACTTCATACTGTGCAAAATCAGTTGACATGTACCTTCTCATTACCTCTTCACCTGCCCATAAGCCTGCTAAAAGACTCTATCACTATTTTCCACTTCTCATGGTCACAAGACTTCTTTCATCACCTCTTCTCCAAACCTCATGGCCAAAGAATCATCTCCTCTCCTATTTACATACCACTGAAAATCATTCCTGATTCACATGGACACCATATTATTACAATATGGGGGGGGGGGAACAAACAAACAAAAAACTATGCAAATAAGACTACATGGAGCAAGAACCCAGAAGACCACTGTCTAAATTCATATCACTGAGAAAAACTCAAATCCTAATCATGCAAATGCTGACTGTTTACAAAATAGAATAAACTTACTGAGTTCACCGTTTTTGTTGCTGCAGTAACTATACAAGAGTAGCCGATAGCTGAAAAGGAAAGGTCACTTTCAGAACTGTATCATGAAACCTCAAAAGCTTGCTGTGCATAATCTTTACAGTATGGTGACCAATTAAATATGCCTCTTTTGCATGCATAATTCTTGTCATTGTTTCACAATTTACCATTACCACTACATTAGCAAGTCAAAGAAGTTTATCTTTTTTCATAAGAGGGGACACTTTAATCCCAAAACGGCCTCAAAGTTGTATATTTGTGAGGCAAATGGGGAAAATGAGATTATATACTGGCACATGTTTCAATATGAGTACCCATATGTGACACTAACTTATTAAAAGACCTGTCACTAGTCATAAATGGTCATAACATTTCAGCAGTTCTCTTCAACAAAAGTTCCTAAATGAAGTATTTTTAATGTATCTATCCCTCAGTGGGCTTCCAAAGTTCAACTTATGCACACTTCTTAACAAATACTAGTTCAGGTTATATAACAGAACTCACAATTCCTCTTCTTACCAAGAAGTTGGTACTTCATTGTCTTTTATTCCCCTATGACTATTTTGTTTTGTTCATGTTCAGCCTAGTAAACACAAATAAAACAGATTCTGAACCAAGTTTGGTGATAGGTGATGTCTTGCAGGTGTGTGCTAGACTCAAGTTCACAGTCACTGTGTAGTAAATTTGTTCCTTTGGTAGTAATACCCATAATATCACTCATACCACCATATGGTGGTGGTGAAAATAAATGTACAGAAAGTGAAGGTACATATCCTCCGACAGATAGATTGAAGCAACATTCCTTCATGAGGATATGATACATTTTGCTGCCTATATGGTCTGACAGTGATTATGTTGTATTGCTTGCATAACAGAAACATAAATGTGAGGAAGGTAAAATTTAATGAAGTCACAATTTAGGAGACCAGGGATAACACAAATAGTAGCACCAGAAATAAAAATAATTAAAAGTAGTACATCCACATTGACAACTATTTTCTTGTCACTATAAATATTTTACTGGACAGAGGTGTTGTAAAATATTTAAATATTTAAATTCTACTTACACAAATTGATTCTAGGCATGGAATGTGAATGCCACATAATTCTCAGATTAGTTATCACCAAGCGACCTTTATCCCCACCATTTCCTTTTGTATCTTCAACATAATCCAGTTTATCCAATATTTTCTCACCAGGTCTCATTTTCATCTGACTACAACAAAGATACCAATAATAAAATGTGTATAAATAACAACAGAGGAAAGGTGTAATTAAAGGACATGTCTTCCACCCCTCACTGGTCTTAAATTAATTTACAGCAGGTACAAATATAATGCAGATATTGACTGCAAAAATATTTATCTCTAAATGTAGCTAAATAGTAATTACTTTGAAAAAGAAGTCCAAATAAAACTGCAGATCCTAATATCTAATATTCAGATAATGTATCAACTTCTTCTGTATGATAAACTAATTTTTAGATGTCTAATAAAGTTCAACTCAAGCTTAATGTAAAATAGACTTATTATAATGAAGTAGTATGGATCAAACTGAAATTTGGCAGATAACTTTCAATGCAGACCTATCAGTACCAAACATAATTGAAATTCATGGAATTGTTCTGAAAACATGAACAAACAGGCAAACATGCATCATCTCAAACTGTGCACTAAATTTGTGCATTCCATGTCTACCATAGAGAATGTGTATGATACATATGTAGACAGTAAATTTACCAAACAGCCCCTATAATTGACAAAGCAAAAAAATATTCTTGAAATGTCTGCACAGGCTTTTCTTATGCTTTAATCATACTGGCCCAAACAGTACAATACACAAATATTTTATAAACCTCTTCACCAATTAATAGTAGTGTTTATAAGCTAATGCTTCAGTTACTGCATTCATTGACTTAAATTCTGCCTAAGGGATAAACAGATGTTCCTCTTTGTTCATCAAGGTTTGATACATGGTCCCTTGCATTTCTTCATATTAACATTCCTCATACAACTGTTCACATAAGTCCAACAAATCCATTATTAAAGTGTTTATATTCTATAAATGGACTCTGTTTGTGGCTATGCATGGCATGCTGCAAGTCCCAGCACAGGACAGAGTAGTGTGACTGCTACATTTGGCAATGTTATCCAAGTACTTCATCGGACTAAAGCAAATATGTAGGGTATGTATTACACTTAACAAATACATCACTGGGTGATAAAATTATTACCATCCAATTTTATATGGATATTATACTATACAGACCAAATTACGTGAACAGCATGTGTTGTGAGACATGGTACAGTACATATACACCTCATTATTTTCAAGGAAATAGCTGTGTAAAACTATTATTAGTTACATCCAGTTTGCACAAATTTAATGTTGGGTTAGGAAGTGCCTTGCTTTCTTGTCACCTGATTGTACTTACTGTAATGGAATGTCAAACCGAACTTCCCTGTCTTCCCACAAAGAATCTGCCATTTCTGACGTTTTGCTATATTTATTTGGAAATTCGCTCTCTTCAAGTGATGAATGTGTTTTAGATACTGATATCAGAGCCATAAACATGCACCATTTTTTTCTTTTCCCCCTCGGAAGCACGGCTTATAGTCACTTTCGAACACTTTATACCACAACTGAAGAGATATGAACACGTCTGATGTATAATCACGTCACTTTTGTCATTCAAGTAATACAGATCGATTCCATTATACGCAATAAGTATCATTCCAAACAAATATCTGACTAATATTCATCTCAAATTACGTTGCTGATGAAATATTTAAATCGCACAGCCTTCTCACTGTTCTTGTCCACCATTGAACCATGTTCCTTTATGTCAAAAAGTAAATAATCTGTCCTTTCACAGAACTTGTCTGATCAATAATTACATTCAGTGTGTATGTAATATATGTATTTAATATTATGACAAAGATCAAATTGCTTGTCCATAGCACTTTCAGCATGATAACCTACGCTTGCAGCCGTAAACTGTACCTTCACATTTATTGGCATCATTTCATCGCACATAGAAATCCCCATTGTGGATTTGAGGTTAGAACAATGACATACGATAACATTTTGTGAATGCGTGTCGGTAACATTGGCGCAAAACATTTGAAATAATGAAATATGCTTTTCTAGATCATTGTTAATTTGGCAATACATAGAACGTCTAAATGCTATAAAAACAGACAACAAAAAGCGTAACGGCGACTGAAGAACGTCCACTTCACAATCTGAATATAAAAATATTTGTAACTTCACTGTATTAGTGTCAAAACATGCACGCACTAAAATAATAGTAATAACGACTTTATATACATGTTACTTTATACTTTTAATTCATAGAAAGTCATGATAACATCAGTTTCATAATAAATACATAGCCAGCAAAACAAAACAGCCATCTGGGGTGGCATATTTTAATCTTTTGTAGATCTCTTTCTCATACATGATCTTATACGGTAGTCATTTAAACATGCCATGCACCAATATAAATAAAATTATGAACTGCAGCACTGACACTACGGTCTAATTCTGTGACATCAAGCCAGCAATAACACCACATAGCAATTCACTTGCAAAACAGACAGAAATATGGGAATGATGGGACTCCCACTATGGGAGGGAAATATAACAAATGGGAATCACTGTGTGGAGTTTCTTTTAGCATTTGACTACTTGTATCTTCTTGATTCCTTCAAAGTCATTAAGTCAGTTTCAGTACAGAGAGGATAAGGAAGGGCAGTGGAATTTTTCATCACCTGGGGCAGCATTAGGCTTCTGCTAGTTCTGAATAAATGGGGTAAATATACACACATACATAACTAGATACATTTTTGAACAGAGTATTTTTAAAAATCAGTTAAAAACTACATCTCATTATCTACAGTCACATATTAACTTCCCTGTTGCCACAGATATATTTCATCAACAGATTTCTTGAAGGGGCCCCAACTTATAATCTCCCACCCCTTCTAAATATGGCTATGCTTATACAGAAAACTGATCAGGTATATGGATTACAAAACATGAATTTACACACACATTCATTATCCATCTCAAACTGGTTTGAAATAATGAAACAACTTTAATATAAAATTGATTCAAATTCATCTTACATCAGTAACTGTTGAAGCCAATCTGGACCTTCATGAACAGATTCTTTCCTAACAAATGTATGATCTGCAACACTTGTATTTTCACTTACATTTTCCATTGGATCATCTGCAACACTACACTGGTTTTCCAACACTGCAACTCTGTCACTGGAATCGGTGCTGGATGTGCTTGGAGTTGAAGGATCAGGACATGGATGGTATGCCAGTGTTGATAATACTTTTTTCAGCCCTGTGTGTGTCTTCATTCCCTTTGAAGTTCGTTTTGCTTTTGAACTGTTTTCTTTTTTAGAGGATGTTTTCAGGTTTGCTTGTGGCACAAAAGGTTTTTCAAAAGTGAACCCAGCAAACTTTTCTTTGCTAATGCTATGTGAAAACACATAAGACTTTAAACCACTACCTGAATCAGCATGGTTTTTCCCTTTTCTAATTGATTTGTTCTGTTTTGCTATGGGTACAGCTGTTCCACATTTTTCCCCCATGTGAGCAACAGATGCTGAAGATTCTGAAGAAAGAGTCTGGGAGCTACTGAAGTTCTGCTGATGAGGGGGACATAATGATGAAACCTGAGGTTTCAAGTATGTAACAGATGCTTCCTTACTTCCCAACTTTCTGAGACTGAATGGCATATTCTCCTTGCACTTGTTGATGTACAAATTGGAATTGCCTTCTATGTTCTCAATCTGTGGAGGGATTATTTGCTTTTTACTGTCATCTACTATGAAATTCTCAACATCTGCCCCATTTGACATTCCAGAGCTAGTCAAATCACCCTGGATTTTCACATTAGTGGCAAAACTATACTGGGGCCCATCCACTTTCAAGTCATTGTTTATCTTCCTCTCTATAGACCTTGATCTGCTAAGAGAGAAGAGATTGTTCTTTTGTAAATCAGATCTATTTCCACTTCCCTTTTGTTCAATATCTGAATTAACTATTAAATGTTGAGAACAATTTATTCCTACATTATTCCCACTGTTTGCAATGTGTTTAACTGTACTTGTTAGGGGTTGCCTCTCTTGAACATCCAAGTCTGTACACTGTGGAACAGGTTCATTATTTGACTTTATGTTAATTGCTTTAACTGCTACTTCAGGAATACAGGTGTATGATGCTGCAGCTAACTTGTCTGGCTTCACATGATCCCCTAAAATCGCTGTCTGATTTACATCTGTTACTGTTCCTTCAATAACTGTATTTGTTATGGAAGGCAGCTGGCTTGTACCTGCAATATTATTTATGGCTGACAACATATTTTCTGCTGTATTTGTCTCCAAATCCAACTCTTTAATTGCTGCTTCTGTAACTTCAGTGCCAGAGGGCACACTCTTCATGCCACGTGATACAATTGTTATATTTTCTGCCACAGGTATGTCATGCAACACCATATTCACAATTTCAACAGTCAAGTCTCCAACATTTGTTACAGGAAAGGTATAAGTCATATCATGAATGTCAGTCATCACTGGAATTAAATTTTCTGTGATAACTAAATGGCTTGTCTCAACATTTGACTGATCATTCAAAGTTTCTTCATCTTTTATTTTGGAGTATGAATGGCCTTGTACCTCTGTCAGTGGACAAGGTGTTAATACAGGTATACTATCTTCTGCAGACATATCACCCATACTTTTTCCAGTAACAATATTATCAACAATGTTTACAGAATATGAAGTTTTGTCGCAAATAATCAAGTCAAATTTCTCTGGTGAAATTGAAACAGAATCATCATCTTTTACTTTGCAGTATGAGTGGTCACGTATTTCTCTCAATGAACAAGGTGTCATGCCAGGTATACCAACTTCTGCAGTCATAACATCTGACATGTTTCCAGTTGCAATATTATCACCACTTGTCATGGAATGAGAAATTTGAGTATGACTAAGGAACTGAATTGATTTTTCTGGTGAAGATGAATTCGCAGAATTTAAATTAAAACTTTCACCCACTCTGATCTTACTTTCTGTGACAGACTGTAAAGAGTTCATAAGTTGCCCATCACCTGTTTGTAGTTTATCATGCACTGCTAAATCATTTGAGTGTACAGATTCTAAGTCCACTTCATGCTGAGAAATGTCTAGAGTTTGCAAGGTTACTGTTGCAGGAGATGACAATCTATTTAGTAATGACTGTCTTGCAGCAGTGTGGTCACCATGTTTTGATTCATCATAATCTGAAGTTAAAGCTAATTCCTGACTTTGGTTTGAGATAGGTATAATTTCATATTTGTGAGCCACTGTTATATTCTGCTGAGTGTCCCCAGAATAGCTGCTTGTCTCTTTCCTTTCAGAACAAATATCTGTGAATCCTGACTGATATGATTCAGTCATCACCAAACTATTATCTTTATTTTTGTCAGTCTCTGCAAACAGGAGGTTTGGTTGAACTTTTGACATGACACTATTTGCTTCTTTTCCTCCAGTCTGAGCATCAAAACTGTCAGTGCTCAATTTCTCAAAGCCAGTATCTGCTGATAATCCAGTGTTCAGTTCCTCAAAGTCATTGCCTGCTGATAAAACTTTCTGACTGTCACCAACTGTATCTTCTATGATGCTTTCAAACAAACTTTCAAATTCTGGATCAAAACTGAAGTCCACATCTTTCATATTTGTACTGGAGAAAACATCAAAATCTAACTTGTCCATTAAATCATAATTCTTTACATTTTCTTTGTTTGGTAGTGACTGGGCTGTACTTGGTAAGTTGGCATCCTTAACTGGTTCAGTTTTGATCACATTCATTTCATCTGAGGAGAAGAATGGAACTGAAAACAGAAGACCAAAACTGAGACATTTAAAAATCATCAGTAATATGATATATGTTCAAGATTGATGCTATCTTTAGGAGACTGTGGGATTTTGTGATTTATTACATTATTTTAATTCAGATGATATAGTTAACACTTCCATCTGCTAAAATCCAACAACCAAACATTGTCGGGAGGTCCTAGGTTCAAATCTTGACCCAGAGACCACTATCCTCGGGTTTGTCATGATTTTCCACAGTCCATTCAGATAAATGCCAGAACAGAACCATAAATTAAGTCACAAATTATGGGTGCCATGTTACCATGGCACGTAAAATTTTCAAGATAGTGTCTAGAAGTTCCTTCATGGTTTCTAGTTTTTGGAGGTGGCTCTTAAATATAAAGGAAATATATTCAGGCCTGATGATGATAACTGACTCTGTGAGTCTCTATAATAGTTGGGAATTTCTTGATCAACTTCATAATTAAATCAGATGCCAAAGGAAGGCTCTCTACCATGAAACTAGTTTCAGGTTATCACATTACAAACAAGGAACAAAACATATACACATTTTTGTGACTTTTATTAGCAACAGAATGTGATGTGAATAATTAAACATACCTGACTCTGAGTGAGATACCGTGTCCAATACATCATCATCCATAAACATGGCCATGAAATTCTGATTTACAAATGTATCACAGTATTTCAGTCCAAATGGATATGGGCACTGTAAATATAAACACATAATAAAAGACTGTACCCATTTGATTCTTTCCTCACTTCACAAATGTTGACCTTTGTAACTCTTCTTTTCACAAGTTGATTTAAATATAATTAGGTACAAGTTTCACACATCATGAAATTTCCAGTTATATCTGCAGTCACCAAAAGTATCACATTTTTGTGCATTATATACATTTTACATAAGAAAGTAAATTACTGAATGACTATAATAAAAATAAAACAATGATCAACTCATCAAAATTACATTGTTCAATAAACCAACAAGTTCCTTCTGAGTCATATAATATGCCAGGTTATTTACACAAACTACCACTTTTTACATGATCAGTATTATCCCTAAGTAGTGGTACTCACAACACGGTGTCACTCAGTGATACAGATGAAGTTTCAAAAATATGCTATGTGTAAGTTATATATCTCTAGGATCTGAGATCAGGATTTTTACTACTATATTTTAACAGACATATTCAATAGGAATAATTTTGTGTCTGTACAAGTAAAAAATTAAACAAACACAGTTATGATAAAATGCACACTTATTTCATTTTAATATGATGTAAAAATCCAACATCAAAAGCAGCAAATGTTTTACTGAGAAACTTGAGTACAAAGTAGTTTACTTCAGACCTTGGCATGCTTTATTGTAAATGGTACATATACGTGTAGATGCTTACCTTGGCATCCACACACATTCTGGCTGCTTCTGTGAGATTAATTTGAAAACACTTCAACACAGATTTTCGGCCCTTAGAGAAGCAAAGTGGGCAGAATTCTGACATCTGGAAAGGAAAATACTTTCTTTCAATAATTAATAATGAAAGAGCAGAATGATTACAGATAAATGGCTTGGGCTTAAATCCTGGTAGCATAATTAGGGTTTTAATTTATGCCTTGAGTACTAGATGTGAGTGGCCAGCTTCAAGCTATAGCATTCTTTAACCCATTCCCAATACAAAGAGACATGTATTCTTTGGATAGGATCCGTCACATAATATAATGATGGGAGTTAAAAGAGTGAGCAGTGGTTATTGTCCATGTTACAAGGATCCCTTGTCATTAAGTTCCTCTGGTTGCAGATGGAGTAGACTACCCCTGAGGTATGAAGGTAGATATTAATATGCTGAACTAGGGGCTCTGTCCCTGCTTGCCAACCCTGCCAGGTGGCTCCCATTCTACTTTGCCCATTTTACCTTACTTTTCATCCTTCCCTGAAGCCCTTTTTTCCCCCTCATTATAGGAACTTGGAGATGAAAAAATTAGGTAACTGAATGGAAAATACATTTAAGAAATATTTTATATGTTGTGGCTATTAGCTTTGTGTAACATCCAGAATGTTTAAACATGTAATGTTCATGCACTAATTTAAAAGTTGGCACGTTCTTTGATCTCTCGACAAAAAAAGGTTTTTTCTTATAGCAGCACTTGTTTTTATCTTTTGAGATACAAAAAAACTGAAGTTTTTTACGTTGTAATTCGATTTCTCAAATCCGAATATTTATGTACTAATATACACCGGCCAGAATTAAGTATGTTTGATTGCCTTGTGCTGGATCCAGAAACGGTTGTTAAAATCTTAAATAACTGGCAGGCGGTTCATTTTATTTGAAACTTACTAATAAAGCTTATGCCAGATATATACACACACATACACAAAAGAATATAACCTGTCTTTCATTCTGTATTAAGCCTTCCAATTTTCTTGTCTTATTTTTCCGGTAATACAATTACTGTTTCAATTTCGAAAATGAAAATATACTACCTTTTTTGCACATTTTCAGAGAGTGAATTAACATATGTTACTGCTGTCGTAGCGTAACAACCTTCAAATCAGAATTCAGACATAACCTCTTTACCACTTGTCAAACCATTTTCTTCCATGTGTTTGCCTCTCGGTAAAGTAGCTTCCATGTATCCTTACCTGGTTCAGTGGTTTGTTACGTCATGCATTACACTCACAGAGGATACTGATAATTTTAATGCTGATGGTAATTCCGTATTCTGATGACTTTTACTATAAATTGTAGATAAAATTCGTACAATACCGGCCTTAGTTTTGACGGTATTATATGAGAGAAAATTTAACATCTGTTAAGAAACTGTTCTTCTGTTGATTACAATAAAGTTTTCTCTCTACCAGTGAAAACGTCCATACATTCTACACTTTGGCGTGGGTGGGTGGCTGCCTTTAAGCTCCGCCCCTTATACACCGGGAAAATAAATCCTGAATCCATTCGATAGGAAGGCAAGCCCCAACATGAGTGTCCATATAGTGACAGAGAGAAAGTTCTTGTCCCTTCTCAGTCAGATCCCAGTTCTTCAGCCTATAGCTAGTCACTTTATTTAAGCTCTCATAACAACAACAATGCTGATCACACAGCACTTTGGTATAAAGATATTTGGGCCTGGAGGAAAAGCACTGTGCATATATAATATGCATGCCTAACTTGGGCGTTAGAGACTAGTCATACTCAAACTTGAAGTGTTCTATCCCTGATATCCCTATGGTCCTCAGAACCATTCCAGACATTGCTGTGAAAACAAATCCAAACATCTGTATTAGCAAGCACAAGCTGTTCAGTATTTTATTATTTTTGTTGTTGTCCTTATTTTTAATTTTAAAGGTAAACTATAGGCTGAAAAATTTCTTATGTCATAAACCCAGGTGAGGGAAATCAGAAGCACATACAGAATTTTGTGCAGAAACATCTTAATAGATTTCCAGTTACAATACAGAGGCAGGAGAGGTAGTATTAAAACATATCTTCAGGACAGAAGTTGTGATATCATGGAAACAGACTGACTAAGGTTATAGTCCAATGGTATATTCATTATCTTCTTTCTAAGATGTTTCTACTTTATGTGGGCTACCTGTGCATTTATTACCTGCAGTAACAAAACACAAAGGTTTAACATTATCAACATTATAGATGCATATTTAACAAAATATCTGATAATACAAACTGAAGGTTCAACAATAACTGTTTTAATTAAAGTCTATAATAATAACAAAAGCCTACTACCAGTGGAAATGACCCTGAAGCAGTTCAATTTTATTCACATATTTGCAGTGTTTTTGCACAAGGAACATTTAATATTATCCTCTTAACCATTTTTCTTTTGCTTTCCAAGCAGCTTCCCCCCTAAAATTTGGGATATATTCTTGATTTTCAAAACCTAGCACTCTGTGCTAACATACATCCAATTTGTGTTCTTGCTTCATGGAAAGAAATTTTTCACCATACAGAACTGGTACCTTATCTTTAGAATTTGGAAAATGAATGGAATGGTTTTTAGCTTAATAAAACAAATCTTTCCTGAACCAAATGTTTAAGCATGTTCAAATGATTGCACTTACCATTGCACTGTTGGTAGACACAGTCTGGTTATTTTAATGATACTATATATAATACTGTTATATAAAGTTTTAAATTATCATCATTATTACAGTACCAGAAATGAGGATAGCAAGCTATACTCATTTGGGCTATAAAGTAAATTGACATAATAAAGAAATTAAATATCCAATCATGGAATTCACAAAAAATTACAGAGCTAAGTAGAAAATCCATGTTCTTTTAATGCTGCACTCTAGAATACCGTTAAAAAGAGAAGTATCTCTGTAGAAATCCTACATGTACTGGCATTAGACTAACAGGCTGCTGGGCATAAGATGTGGAAGACATGATTATGTTTCTAACTTATTTCTTATTAAGCATCAATTATTAATTTAATTCAAGCCGTTATTTTTCTGGGAGTATTGTAAAGTGGGATGAAATGTCAGCCTGGCTACTAAAACTTTGAATATTAATCCATATTAACAATGTCTCTGTCTTAAACATTATATAAAAAGAAGCTATTAGGATAGAAACCAACTGGATTACTTCTTTACAATATTCATATTGACAGGGGAGGGGGAAGGAGAGTGAGATGGCCAAAATGTGCTAAAAATGGAATACACACTGGAAACAGCTGGCATGACATTGTACAAGTCATATTGTCCTATGCTCAGAGACAAAGAAACTGAGGCAGGAACCATGGAGCATTGACAATTGCTTTAAATGGGGTTCATACTAGTAGTTTTCATTAAGGCCTCATATGGTATGTTATAAGATTATTATTATTATTTAGTGTTCTGTCTGATGACAGGTCCATATGAACAGGATCCTTCCATCCTTTTCTCGGACTGGGACCTGTTCATATACGTTCTTGGCAGATGATCCAGAAGTGGTTTGCCATTGCCTTCTTCTGTGTGTGAATGGAGTAATTGTTGGGATGCCAATGAGGAAAACTCCGTGTTGCCTAGGCCACGGCCTTGCCCAACACAAGTTATAAATGCGAACCCGAGACCCCAGGATTACAAGGCCAGCGT